TAAGGTTTTCATAATGAAATTTATAAATTCTCATGATTTCCTTTTCAAATTCTGTAAAATTCATGTTGAACTCAAATTTGGTTTCAAAACTGTGCACCTGACCTATCTACAGTCTTTTGATCAAAACTCAGTGAATTCTTTACTTTAAAATTTTTTTCCTAGATTTGTAGTTCATAAGACTATAATCCAGTAAAAATTCAGCCTCAAATTCTATTTGTACAAGTACAGTTAATACTTTAAAGTTAAGGGTGAATCCAGAAGGCAAAAACAATCCATGCATGAGAACTTGATGAATAATGATCCTCTCATTCTAGGTGTTCGATTTGATTCTCTCATATTTTATATTCTTAGTTTTACATGTTTACTTGTTATTTTTTAATTTATTGCATTTATTTTCATGAATTCATTTGGTGTTTAAATAGATTTAATTGTTAATGCTCTGTTGTTCTCTGTTTTCAATATAACTTGAGTTGCTAGTTCATTAAGCTGATTTTTCTCTATTTTGCTGCCATTTTCTTGTTGAATTTTGTAGCAAACTTGATTGATGAATTGTTTCTTAGCTTATTTTAAGTTCATTTTCATTATAAGCTTCTAGACCTAATTTTTTCTTTCATCAACTTAGTGAGTTTCGATTGAATTTGACTACATATTTTAGTTGTTTCTAGTTTATTTTTGTATTCTCTTGTACTTTTTGTTTTTCAAATCAATTTTCCTTTTGGTTCCTTAATTGATCTTTTCAATTCCAATTTATGATCACTTGTTTTAGCATCAATTAGGTGTAGATCAATGAGATCTTGTATATCTTCATTGATTTTATCTTGCATTACAAATTTTATGCTACTTTTTGTAGCTTACCCAATGACATTTTTCAATCAGGATGGAACATAAAGTTATGGAGAAGATAAATGAAATGTACTGTGATGTAATTCTAACAACACATTTTGAGGTTCATGGAGAAATGTTCTCTTTAGCAATGGAAGCTAAGAGGAGGAATAGGCATTGTAGGCTTCACTCAAAGCAAGTGCGACTCCTTCTATGGAGTTCATTGATGGGTAAGAGGAAAACAAATGCAAAGTGGAATGTTATTAAATATATTAAATTTTGTGTTATATGTATATTGGAACAAATTATGTATTTAGATATTTAAATATTTATAATATTCAGTTTATGAATTTAAATTCATTTTTATTTCTTTTAACAATTTTTATTTAATTATAATAATAAATATTAAAAGAAAATTAAAAAAAAGTAAATTTTTTATTTAGCGGCATTTGTATTTAAAAATACCATTAAATGCTGAATTTAATGATGTTTGTATCAAAAAATACCGTTAAATTTAGTGGTATTTTTAAACACAAATGTCGTTAAATTAACTGTTTTTTTATGCAAATGCCACTAAATTCATAATTTAGAGAGTTTTTAAGTACAAACGCCATTAAATTTAATGACATTTGTATCAAAAAATATCGCTAAATTTAAAGACATTTGTATTAGAAAACGCCACTAAATTTAGCGACATTTGACACCGTTATTTTTCGCGATGCGTGAATGATGGTACTCTGTGTGGCGTTTTTCACAAACATCGTAAACCTTATAGTGACGTTAATAAACACTGCTAAACGATAAAAAAAATGCCACTAAAAACCAAAACCCCTGTTTTCAAAAATTTTTTTGTCTGTCTTCTTGTTCTTGACATTTTACCTGTTATGGTTTGATGGTTGTTGGTTTCACACCTTCTCAGAAAAGTGGTAACTGTTATCTCTTCTACTTTTTACTCTTTATGGAATCTCCTTTAAAGTTTTCTAGTCCCAAGGCCTGTAAATGGTACAATTCCCTCTGTATATTCTACAGGTGAGCTCTTCCAAAAATGAAGTTAATTACAAAGCACATTGATTGTTTCAAATTGCAAGTTATAAGAAACCATGTGATGTTTGATGGGTTTTTAATGTGTTTCAGCTCTATTTCTTTTCTTGCCATCCCCTTTGGTTATATGCTTTATGAGATTAACCTTTTGTTAGGTAAAAAATCTCAAATCAAAAAAATTAACAGAAGTAAAATTAAACAATCGATCAAACACATAAAAGATATTAATTTAACATGATTCGATTTAACTGACATTCGTTTACGGAAGAAAAAAAGATCTATTAATTGTAGAGAATTACAAATATATAATCAACAAATCAATCTCACTCATTATTAATACCCATAGACACTCTTAATTTTTTCTATTTCTATAGAATATTCTCAACCTAAACAAATACATACCCATATACACTCATACACCCAAACTTATGCGGACCCTCTCAGTCTCTTTTAGTTCACTCACAAATATTCATATCACCATATCTATGTGGACTATCTTATTCTCCTCTATTTGACTCAAACATATATACCTATAAAGATGTTAATCTCTTGTAATCCTATAGGATATTTATCCCATAAAACTCTATAACTCTCTTATATCTTTTTCTCATACTTAACCATATATACACTTCACCTGTTTAAGTATACAAACTTGTCTGTCAAGAATTCTTTTCCTTTTAGAATTCTTTTTTTCCATCAAGTAATATCTAACTAATCTCAAATAAATTTGTTATGCAATTTAAGTTACTATTCTCAACAATCTACTTCTTGACTCAAATTCTATCAAATTATCTATCTTTATGCTAGACATGTTTAGCTCCACCTGCAATGAAAATCTCAAAATCATCTTCTCTTATGTATTTTCATGCTTCACATAAATTGATCTTTAAAATATAAACTCGAATTCTTCCTTTGAATCGAGTTATTTTAGGCTTGTCTCTTTCCATAACTTGAACCTTCAATTCTGATACCACTTGTTGAAAATCATCATAACTCTAATACCACTTGTTAGGTAAAAAGCCTTTAATCAATAAAGTTAGTGAAAGTAAAATTAAACAATCGATCAAGCACACAAGAGATATCAATTTAAAATGGTTCAACCAAACTGACTTACAATCCGCGGATGAAAAAAAAGATTTACTAGTTGTAGAAAATTACAAGCATGCAATCACCAAATCAATCTCACTCATTATTAATACCCATAAAACACTTTTAATCTCTTCTAGTCATATAATGTATTTTGAACACAAATAAACATATACCCATATACATTCATGCACCTTTACCTACATGGAACCTCTCAGTTTTCTTTAATCTACTTACAAATATTCACACCACCATACTTACATGGATTATCTCATTCTCCTCTAGTCCACTCAAACATACACAACCATAAAGGAGTCCTATGGGGTGTCTATCCTATAAAACCTTATAACTCTCTTATATCTTTTTCTCATACTTAATCATATATAGACTTTACATGTTTATAAGTATACAAATTTATCTATCAAGAATCTTTTTCCTCTTAAAATTCTTCTCTTGTAAGTTTTCTTATCCATCAAATAATATTCAACTAATCTCAAATAAATTTATTACGCAATTTAAGTCACTATTCTCAATAACTTTTTGTGTGTTATAAATATAATGATACAGGATGGGATGACCTGTTTGGCCACCCCATTGCGTATAAACAGCTTAGTCTTCTGATAAAAATTGGATGTGCCTATTTGAAATCTATCCAGGATGGTGGATCTGGTTCTACTACATCTGCCCTGTTGCATGGACTTTAAAGGGTACAATCAGCTCTCAGCTTGGCGATGTAGAAACCATGATTGTTGAACCGACATTTCAAGGCACCGTGAAAGAGTATTTACACACTGCTTTTGGCATTGATCCTGGGATGATAGGTGTTTCAGTGGCAGTGCTAATCGGCTTTTGCATCCTATTTTTTGGTAGCTTTGCTTTCTCGATCGGTGAAATTTCTCAACTTTCAGAAAAGATGAATGATGAACTTAACGACTGCAAAAGCTCTGTGCATCAGCATTTGACTGGTTTTCATCATCCAAGTTTGAGCACAAACAAATTCTGTAAGAGCCAGCACCTCATCAAGATCTACATATCCTTCCCAACATTCTTTTCGATGCTGTCTAAACTTTGTGGTCATTGACAGAGCAACTGATCAAAGCACCCAAATGTACTCTTTTACAAATCTTGACTAAAAACATTTCTTTAGGATCAGTACAACATGGAAAGCAGACTCAAACCAAATACACTTTTAGTATTGTTAATGTAGTTGTAGCAACACTAGTTAGTTGCAATTCATTATTGTGTCTGACCATCTTGATCACTGTCAAACTCGGGAATCATACCCTGAAAATTGTTCAATTACAGAATTCCATTTTCCCTCATTGCAATAATTTTTTTTTTTTGTTTAACAAACGAGAATGTAATATGAGAATATAAAAAAAAATTAGCTTATAAATGTTGGTTTTTAAATTTCAAACTTGTTAAATATCACTTTTGAGGGTGATTGCATGAGCCTCTGAGCTACGGGTTATCAGGTGCAATAAGTTTAGACAGCAAATGAAGGGGCCAATGTTGCCCCTTTGTGCAGCGCGGACTTGTTTTGATGGTTAAGTTCTGAAAACAGAGAAAAAAGGCACCTGCATGCATTGTTTATTTTGTTAATGCACTTGTATAGGATTCAAAACTAATAGTATTAAAGACGGAGGAGTTGAAAATTTATTTAATACAGTAGAGATTAATATAGCAATATATGTCTTATTTTTTTAATTAATTTTTTTTAATATTTAAAAAATATGTCACTCTGTTAATTTTATTTGTAAAATTAAAAAATTATATAGATAGTATATTTGATAATTTCTTTTAATGTAATAAAAAATATGAGAGGAACAGAGAAAAATAGTACTAATAACAATTCTGCTCAAAATTTTATCAATAAAATAAATTCTGGTCTGGAAAGTTACTCTTATTGACTGATTTATATGATTTTATTACTTCACAACAAGTAAACCACATTTGTTTCTGCTTTAGCAACATAAAAATAATGACATAAATAAAGTACATGTAAAATAAACAGCTAGATAGAGATTAAAAGTTTAATAATCAGCCATATGTTTTTTTTTTTTTTTTTGCTGCTATTATGAACTAAAAAATTGAGACAAAACCCTTATTAATGAATCACATAATCAGAGTGTACTTACAAACATTTTCGAATGACTAAGTTCGGTTTCTTCTCATGTATTAACTTGAAAATGGCCTCAACTTTTCATGTCTGTAACACTCTTCTCAGTGCTCAAATCTCCAAAGAGTCCCTTTTTTTTTTTTTTTATGGAAATGGAAATGAAAATGAAAATATTTTTCATGGGTTGGGAAAATGGATGATAGCAATGTCGTCCTTGACTTGGGGCAGAAACCACCCCGAAAAGGCGGTGCTGGCTAGGCTGAGAATCCAGATGATGGTTTGAGTCCCAGGTTGACTTGAGTTTGATCTACCAAGCAAATTATTTTGCTAGTAATTAGTGTTTTACTAATGAGAAAATAAGGAGACAAAAAAGAATGGGGAGTTCTTACCTAATGGGGCAGGAATTTTATGAACAAAAAAGCATGCTGCAATGGCTACGTAACAAAGGCAAAGAACTACTCCTTTCATGTAATGTGAAGTTCCATCCTGAAAATTAAGAGAACGAATATTTATAATTTTTATAGGATTCATTAATATGTGATTTATATAAAAAAATCACTATTAAATATCTAAACTTTATTTTTTTCTAACAATTTAGCCCACACATTAATTTTATTAACGGTAAGATGATATGACAAAAAAAAAAACTCATAATCGGTATTTGTTATGTTATTTTTTTTATTATTGATATTAATTAATGATGTAAAATGTTTGACGAAAATAAAATTCGGATACTTAATTATAATTTTTTTTTTATAAATATCAAATAGATAAAAATAGTATAGTTCAGAAATCAAATTATATATTAACTTTTTTTATCATATATATAGAAAACAGGAAATATAATTTTAATATGTCATTTAAAAAAAAAAAAAAGAAGAGAAAGAGGGATAGGTTATACTAAACCTGTAAAGTGAAGGCTACAACTATTATAGTTAAGGCAAGACAAGCAGTTTCGAGAAGACTGAAATCAAGATCCATTTGGATTCTCATTATCCAGCCAACTACAACACACAAGGGAACCTGAAATGTGTAGATAAATAAACTAATTAGATATGGGATCCAAACGAGAGATTAAAGTTGTCGAAAACAACTTGTTAAAACTGTTTTTGTGCTTCTTAAATCTTACTGCAAACATAGAAATTTGAGTTGCAGAACCCAAAGCAACACCCAGGGATATGTCCTGAAAAACAGGTCCACTATACATGAGATGCCAAAGTATATTTTGTTGTTTTTTTTTAAGTTCTTTATATTTTAAATTAAGGATCATGTACTTCATTTTAATATAAAATAACAAATAAAATAAATAAAATTTTATATATGTGCCTACCAACTTGTTCTTAAAAGCAAATATGATTGATCCAGCATGTTCAGCAGCATTCCCCACAATAGGTATCAAAATTATGCTGATGAAGCTAATAGAAATGCCCCAAGATTCTGATGCAGCCTGTTCAATGTAATAAAATCAGTAAATTATAAATATGCAACTATGTGCTATCAAACTTTATAGGCTGTTGAATCTTGCGGGAATTTTCGTAAGATTGAGGTTCGATCCTTAAAGTTTATAATTTTTTCCTTAATCCCCTAGACTGTGGTCAATCTTGTAAAAAAAATATATATACTGCTAATTTACAAGTAAAACTAAAAGGATTAATTTTGTACCTCAATTGTGCCCACAACATACTCAGATAGCAAAGCTATGATGAGTGTCATACCAACCAACCAGCTAAATGCACTCCAAAATCCTATCACTGCCTTTTCTTCTTCTTCATCTTCCTGCATGATCATTAATCATCAGTTTGAGTCAGTCCTTAGGGCTTATTTTTCAGGGCCTGATCATTTTCTACCACGTTCCCTTTGCCCAACCTACTAGCAATCAAGTAATTTGTTCCAATATTAATATCTCCTCATTTTTTTGGGTTAATTTTTCCGCTTTAAGAAATGCAAAATCAATTTGGAAGTTGGGTTTTTAGCTTCAACTTTGAACTTTTTATGAAAAAGGAAGTAACTTCCTTTTATGGGTTTGCATATGGTTGTACTTGCCATCAGTATCAGGAACTGTTTTTCCTTTTTGTTTTCTCTTTTTAAAAAGTTTCCTGTACTTTTTGACGATGGAAATTTCGTTGAGCAATTGGACACTCTAGAATCTCATGCATGCAAAGACAAAAAGGGGCCGTTACTTTAAAAGAAAACTTCAATTTTTCCCTTTTTTTTTTTTTTTAAGTTTTGTTTCTTGGAAATAGTCACCTCCTGAGACTCGAAAATCTGCCTATGAGTTTTTAGCTGGAAGAAGATATATCCAATATAAGCTACAAGCATAACAATGCTACTTGCTCTTGACAGCTGAAGAATAGAGTGATCATCAATGAAAATGCCTGGCGCTGCCGCATATCTAAACATCAATGGCAACATGTGGCAAAGCAATCCCAGCAACAGCAGGAGAGAGTTAACATCTGCCTGCTTCTGTTAAATCATTAAAATATATCAATCATCAGAATATTATAAGTTTTCCCAAACTTGCTTCTTTTTTTGGACTTAAAACTTTTGTTTGATGTCTTACTCTATCATATCTTTGCTCCTTTTTCAGGTTGGCTAAGCCTCCACAAAGGAGAGAGGAGCCAAGAACAAGTAGGAGGTTTGAGAGAATGGAACCCAAGAGAGAGTACTTGAGAACATGTATTTTGTTTTGGTAGAGAGCAAATAAAGCTATTATCAGCTCTGTTGCATTGCCACAAGTTGCATTCAAGAGTCCTCCAACTGCAAAATTTCAACTCCTGTCATTGTTTTCGATCGATTCTCAATCATATAAATTCAGAATTAAAAAAGGGTTGTCTCAATGACTTGGAATCTGAAAATACCTGTTGGACCGGTGTAGTATGCAATTTGTCTGAATTTTTATAGAAAAAAAGATTTTTTTTAATTAAAAAATCAATAAAAAAAACTTGTCAGAAATCCTTGCACATAAAATTTTACAGATTCAAAGAATATATTTTAGCTTAACTTACTCAGTGAGGAAGCTGACACGCTCAGCAAGTGGGGTAAGTCCAAGCAAACTCAAAGCAAATATCCAAGGCTATTTGTCACGATAATTAGATCAGTAATCAGCATTAAGTTTGATTGTCATTTGAAACAAAGATAAAAACATGGTAATTAAGTACTTACTCTTCCAAACTTATAGAAATCAGCAGCAATGGCTAAAGGGATGGCAGGGAAGAGAACAGCGAGCTTAGTACCAAGAACGACCTCTTGCAAATTGGCTAAGAACTGTCTAAGCATCTGAAACCGAAGTTTTGAAACCAGCATTGGATCGGATTTCTTCCGCAAAAGGGAAGTGGACATGTTTTGAGCTGTCCTTAATCCATTATTCCATGATTCTTTGCCCTTAGAATATCCATTCTCCATGTGAGAAAGCTCCCCCGCAAACTCCATTGGTGAAAGTAATATGAAGAATAATTAATGAATCAAACTCAAGTGCAATTACAGCTTCATTTTCTCTAATAAAGCAAAGTGGGGGAAGTTTTTGGTGTGTTTTTATATATGGGAAAAGGGTAAATAAATTGATTTTGCATTGTTGGAAAGAGTGGAGGTACCGTTTCGTTTTGGTTGTGCATGCATGCAGCTTCCTGGAATTTTCTCACCCTTTTGTTTTCATTCTGGCATGAGCTTTAGTCTTCCATATACAATTCACATTATATTTATGAAGCGTCTGCTGTCTAGTGTCTTAGCTGTTAGAATTAATTGTTTTGCACTTCTCGATAGAAATCAAAGTTGGCAACATTATAATTTACAAAAAAATTATTAATACTGAAAAAAGGAAAGAAAAAATATGAATTTATATATATTTCTTTTAGAATGCTTTTAAATTACATTCTCTTTTATGCTATATGTTTGAACTTTCTGAATATACTTCTAACTATTTCATAAGATTTTTTTTTCATAAATAGCTTTATTTAAGTACAAGAACATATATAAATTGGACCCCATGAATTAATTAATTAATTATTCCCCTCCTAACCATGCCCTAAAATAATTCTTTGAAATTAAAGTACATCAAAGGGTTCATAATTATAAACACTATAGATAAATAATATCTCACAGGATGAGCGTCTGAGATTAAAAGAATTCTATGATAGTTATGAAGTAAAAGCAACTTCCTTCGTCTCCAAAATTTGACGTGGGGAATAATCCAGTTCTGCTATGTGGATGATAGATAAAGGGGATGGAGTAGCAATATTCGTACACACTCAAAAGGGTCAGAACCTTCCTGCAGGTATTTTCATGGCTTCCATTGCAAAAGAATCAATCGGTTGTATCATTTTTACTTCCTTAGTTTGATCAAAACCGAATGATTAAAATGACAAACTCATACAAAAGTATGTACTTCCATTTTGTTGGGTCTGATATATACAGAAGGAAGAAAGTTGTTGGATGAAATTTCCTCACTTACTCTTTTCCTTGATGGCAAGGCAAGAGGCATATAGTTTACCTCAAACTTTTTAATTTGTAGATTTTGCAATTATGCACATCTTCCACAAGTTTTGCCATGTACAATTATGCACATCTCATTATTTATTTGAATAATAAACAAGATTAATCGAGTCTGAATGAGTAAGTTTAATCAAATTTCGAGTATTGAAATATCAATTAAATTAAACTCAATCTAATTTATGAACACATTTATCTATTATTTTATAAAAACAAAAAAAAAGACAAACATTAATTGAATTCTACTAATATTTTTTTTATTTTTGGTTTTCTAATTGTTTTTTCCTTTCATGTAGTTTTCATGGCAATTGAGATTTAACAAATGCATAACTAAACTTTTGGGGTAAAGATAAAATTGAAGGAAATTTCCCTTTAGGTTTTATTGGACACGCCATATTCAAATTACTTTCATGGTTCAACAAGTACTAAGTTGGATTATTTTGCTTTTGTGGTTTGTGATTGGTAGGACAATTTCTATGAATGCCAATTACTTAGATTTTATTTTATTTTTTATATTTAATAAAATCATATAAATAGAAAAAAAATTTGCAATCACTATCTTTTAAAAATAAATTCTTTACAAAATTATTTTAGACACTATTGACAAATGTAATTGAATTTAATTATCCAAATATTGTAGAATGTAATTTACTATAAACTTTTACCCTTAAAAAGAATATAATAAAAGAATAAGAACTGATTGATAAATTTTAAAAATTCTGCATATTAAAAGTAGGCTGGTATGGCAAATATATTTGAACTGATTGGTTTTCGGATCTATTTATTTTTTTCTTTTTTTTTTATGAAAATTTAGTTTTTAATGGATTGAATTTTTTTAAAAAGAGTTGGGGTTAGATTTTAAGTAAATTTATACCGAGTAGATATACATATATTTAATATTTTATTGTTTATTGAATTTATATTTATATTATTATATTAATAAAATAATTATTTAATATATTAATTTAATAAAATTATTATATTTATATATAATTAAGATATAATTTATATTAAATAATAAAATTTTATAAATATTATATTAAATTAATTTCAGATTGATTCCAATCTATTATTGATTTTATTCATACATAGATCGAATTAGATATAAAAAATAATATTTTAATATTATGTCAAAATCGATATATATTTTACGAGGAGTCGGGACGAGAAAAACCCGCCCGATCGACCCGTTGCAATCACTAAATAGAAGTTTAAGAAAAACCCAAAATCAGAGTTAAAGACTTAAGACTAACAAAACCGCGCGAAGCAGAACAAGTAAAGGGTGAATCAGTACCAGGAAAGAAAAAAATCCAAACCTAAAAAAATGTCGGAGAAATTGGCTCCTGAAAAACGACATAGTTTCCTTCACAACGGTCTTTATCGCTTTCCCTCTCTTTACATTTCAATGTTCTTGTTTTAGGGTTTCGTGATTAGAAAGCATTTTTTTTTTTAATTTTTCAGGTGAAGAGGTATTTGAATGGGATCAAACCTTGGAAGAGGTAAATATTTATATAAACTTACCGCCGAATGTTCACTCCAAGCAGTTTTACTGTAAGATTCAGTCCAAACATGTCGAAGTTGGAATCAAAGGCAACCCTCCTTATCTCAATGTTAGTTTTTTTTTTTTTTTTTTTTATCATTTTTGTGGTTATTTTTATTTGTTATATCTTCAATAATTTATTTCATTCTTTTTAGCATGATTTGTTCTGCCCGGTGAAGACGGATTCATCTTTTTGGACAATAGGTATTTATTTTGTTTTCTTTTTGCTGGAAATTATTCCTTGGTTATAGCTAGGGATTAGGCAAGGATAAATAAATTTAGAAACTTGAAATAATGATAAATTGGATTTTTTTGTTTTGGTTTAATTGTATTGTTTGAAGCTGAATTCATTATATGGAATGATGAATTATCATTTGAATTCTTTGTTTTTTTGACAATTGAGTGGGAAGTTTTAGTTTTTAGAGTTGAGCTAAGGGGTGTTTTAATGTGGACAGAGGATGATATAATGCACATAACTTTGCAAAAGAGGGACAAGGGTCAGACGTGGTCGTCACCTATACTAGGTCAAGGTCAGCTGGACCCCTATTCCACTGATCTTGAGCAGAAGCGCCTCATGCTTCAGAGGTTTCAGGAAGAGGTGAATCATGTGTTTCCCTCTTAAACTTGCTCTAAATGTCATGATAGGGTTTTTCAATTCATTCCATAGTGAATGATTCTATTGTTACAATATCAATGTCATTTTTCATGCTATTGCTAAACTTAATATGTTCACATCATTTGTTCTTAAGGTCCACTTGTTCCTTTGTGATGGTTGTTAAAAGGTATTCACACACACACACACACACACACGCCAATGTCTTGATAAAAGATTTTTTTTCCATTCCTGTCTCTGTGTGAATTGCATTTGGTTTAATTATGACTTTCAGGCTTTCTTTCTTAGTAAGATATTGGTCAGATGTTTTTAATTACAGCAAGCCGTATTATTATATGTAAGCTTTACTTTGTTTCATTTTATATTTCTCTCATGTGGATTCTTAGTCTTTCTGAGGTTGTCCAGAAATTGCTGTGTAAATTATATGCATTAGTTATTTCAATATATACTTGTCACTTTTTAATGTGTCTATATTTATATTTATGGCATAGTAACAAAGAAAAGATTTCTGGAGAAAAACATCTTCAGAATTTGACAATGTAATGTGCTTTTTATAACTTAAATACCACATTAACTAATGCCCTGTCCACATATTTTCACATGGGTGAGGTGATACTCATTTGTTATAATTATAGACTTTTTGCAATTGAATTTTTCCCTAGAAGTATAAAATCTCAAGTCTTGGTTATGTGCTTTCTATATTGATGATGAATGATCCCACCAGAAGCATCTATTCTTTTAACTCCATAATGAAGCTGCATATTGCAAATTCTGTTTGACTTTCATTATAGCATGGAACCAACTTTGTGGTTCTTCTGCGGTATTTTGTTGCTTAGCATGTGAGAGAGATTAACCACCATGTAAATGTAGATAGGCTCTAGAGAGGAAAAACATCAGTGATATAATCATATAAATGAAGTTTCTAACCACTAATAGGAAAAACATTCAATAATCCCAGTTGAGGTAGGTACTACCATCCTAAGTAGCTATTGGGCAATCTATCGGATAGGGACATGACTTTATATGATATACATAATAAAGCAAGATTCAATTTTAAATTGAGCACATAAAAAGGAAGTTGCTTCCAAGGAGGAGGAGGCCTTGGTTCAAAACGACGACCTCTGTGTCCTCCTAAGAGCTCTTTAGCCACTAGGCTAAGGGGCTTAGGACACATAAATGATACATTTAATGAAAAACTTATAATTCTCATAATTATCATTTTAACTTTCGTTTTGTTTTCACTTTAGTTGCCTCACTAAAGGCTATCCGTTATGAATTACTTGATTCTTATGTAGTTCATCACAACCTGAATCAACATGGTCAAACATTTGACTTGATACCTTGTTAAAACCTTATTCCAACTACTTGTGTTGGGGTGACTTGCGCATTACAGTAACAATGTTATTATCTTTCTGCAGAACCCAGGTTTTGACTTCTCCCAAGCTCAGTTTACAGGAAGCTGTCCTGATCCAAGGACTTTTATGGGTGGTATCCGTTCTGATTGACAGTCTTCATGTACTGGTTTGATCACTTACATAGTCCTGCTATTAAATCTTGACCTTTACTTAGTAAATAAACAATCTAATGTGCTTTCACCCCCTAGTCATAAGGCTTGAATTAACTTCTTGGCTCAGCCATCAATCTTTGATAATAGTATTACTACTATGCAGTTTGTGATTGCCATGTTCAAATCTAATTAAGAAATTGGATTTATCTTATAGTTCTTCTTAATCCTTTGTTGGTTACACCAAGCTGCTTGTCCTGCTATTTATGTTTGATGGTATGCACCATCAGAAGTCAGAATTTAACCCACCTGATTAGGTTTCAATCAAACAGAATTGAGAAAAATAGTTGGAAATCTGGCTGTGGAAATTGGTTTTCTAAAGTTTAGATTTTAATTTTATCCGAGTTGAATATTTTTGCTCAGGTATATGATATTCAGTTAAAGTTGTGATCATTTTCTTTTTAAGTCACATTTCTTCTTTCACAAAGATAATATCATAAGATAAAGTTTGTTGTAGTCTTTCAATTAGGGTGTAATTGAACCAAGCCAATATAATGCCATATCTGAGCTCAGCTCGAATAAAAAACTCAAGCAATGAGTTTGTAACCTGGTTGGCATTTTGACTTTCAAATTTGGATTCAGGTCTCAAATAAAATTTTGAAATATATAAATAATATAATATTTTTAATGTAAAAATATTAAAATCAAAGGCTTGATAAACTCAAGTCACTTGAGTCATCGAACTGAGTTTGATTCGTTACTCAAACCACTGTAGTTCAAGTTCAGGTCCACGTTCAAGATCAGAGATTTGATTTGATGTTTCAGAATTCTACTCTGGCACCTAAAATTAGCAATATACTTTAAATAAAAGGGGGATTTGAGTTGATGTTTCAGAAATTAATTACCAATTAAGTTAAGCCATTTTTTCAAAAATTATAATTAAAGATATTTTTGCACCAAAAAACAATGTTATTAATCTCCATAAGATCTCCATCATCAGTTAGCACATGACCCAAAAATGTTGGTGCTAACGCATTTTTTTTTTTAATTTTAATTTACTCTTGATCTCCTATTCTTATATGTTTAATTCGTTTGAAAATAACATTATGCGAGTCTTCGGCAACTTTCAGAACTTGCAGCTCATATTAAACTGTTTGATTCGGATTTGATTTTTTAAGATATTATATAATATTATAAAAATGTAAATTTTGATTTAAATTTAAATCAAATTTTCATTCTATTTAAATCAAATTAAAATTTATCGATTTTGTTTATTGATTTTTAATTTTTTTAATTTTTATATATTATTTTAATATAAAATTTTAATATATTTAAATAAAATTTGATATAAAATTATTATTTTTATTTTATAAAAATTTAAAAAATATATATAAAAGTTAAAATATATATAATTTTGTTCGATTTGATTTTTTACCTCTTGACCTAAAATTTAATCTAAATTTAATATATATTAAATACTTGAATTTTATTCAAATTAAATAAAAAATTAATTTAAATTAAATTAAATATTATAATTTTAAATTAATTTTTAAATTTTTTGATTTTTTTCTCATCCTTACTACTTTTTAAACCAAAATTCAATTTCTAAACAAATACTCAATTACTCAGTTAGTATAAAATTAAGGTTTTCAATTAATGCATTTTTTTCATTTTTAAAGCATAAATACGAGAAATTTAGACATAAATTCAAAGCGTTCTCATTGTTGGTAACTACTCCCACGGTGTCCTCCTCCAAGGCCGTGTCGTCGTCGCGGAAACCCTCGGCCGAGCCGCCTCTTTCATTTCCAACGTCCTTAGCTGCCTCTCCGTTCCTTTCCATTTAACCTCTAAAAGTTGGCCTTGATTTTAAATACCCAGTTAATTACAATCTCATCGTGGTTCCGATTTCCAAAACCACCGTTTTCCACGCCTATTTCGATCTGGGTTATAGCGAAATGCTCATCAGGATCGGGTCTTGAAACAGGTAAAAACCTGCGACCCGATTTACCATCGGATCTAACCGATGAGAGGTTCGTGGGGTTAAAAGAGAGCGGGTTCTACATTTGTTACCACGGCTGAAGTTTTTAAAGGCATCTCCAGAAGAGGCACTGTTTATGGATGTTGAGGAAGTGAGGCAATGCTGTTGTGTGGTGGTAACGCATGGGAAAGATGGATGTGGATTTTATTGGAAAGATGAGGAAATGAAGATTGGGCCTTTTGGGGCTAACTGGATTGATCCAACGGGCGCTGGAGATTGTTTCTTAGGTGGGTTGGTTCTTGGTTTGGTTGTTCCTGCTGCTGCTTTGTTGGGAAACTTTTTTGATTCACTTACTGTGGCTCAGATTGGTCTCCCTAAGTTTGACTTGAGATTGTTACAGGTTCGTTGCTTCATCTTTTCTGGAAATGTTACTATTTCATGAAATTGTTTGAGCTGACATTTAGGTACTGTTTCTATTTTTTCTGGAATTTAGTTGGATACTGTTGGGGAAATTTGCATTTTTATAATTAGAAAAAAATGTTTATTTTAGAAACTTAACTTGGGATGAGTTTCAGAATTTCTGTGAACTACTAAGGGAATATAGTTTGTTTGGCAAATGGCATTTGGATAATATTGGAATTAGATAAAATGTGAATATTTGCAACTTCAATTGGATTGAATGAGTTAACTACTGCAACCACTTTTTAATACTGAAACATTTTAAAATGTGCATTGGCTGCAAGTGCCATGTTTGTTCCATGACCACATGCTTTTAGCTATATCGTCAATAGAGTGTGGGTCTCTGTGAAGGAGGTCAGCTGTTTAATGTTTAAAAATCGCACTATAAATAGGCTCCAGTTGAATGTAAAATCGAATGGCCGACCATATAATGTAATGAGGCTGCTACTCTTTTATCAAAGATTTGTACTTGGAATGGAGTTACAGGTTTCTTGTCATGGTTAAAGTGCTGACAGCGGATTTCTTTTCTTTCTTAAATTTGCAGTCCAGTTTTCATACTTATTGTGATAGCGTTATCCTTAGTAAGCTTCATTGTGTTGATCAATGCATGGCATAAGTTGTATATCATTGTTCTGTCTACTCTTTGTTTTGGTGGTTTTGCATAACAAAAAGTGGGATTTGTCCCTCTGATCATTATTTGGAAACAATCATCGTTAAGATATTTTTTGTCCCTTTGCTTTCTGTGCTGTGAATGTTAATATGCAGTGATGATTTGTAGATTTGAAGATTTTATGAATTGATATCACTTTCAAAATGTTTTATGTAAAGTGTTAATTTTGTAAGTTGTATTATTCATAAAGGGTCAAATTACTTCTGTCTTAAACATTCTCTTGCATAATGAAAACACAAGGGGACGTCTTTCATGGTGCCATCACAGCTATATATATAGATATATATTTTAATGAGATCATTTTTAATTATTTCATCATGACAAGGGAATCCTTCTTTCTAACGTGATCTTTTACTTATAACTTGTATCTTTTTCTTTTTTTTTTTTCATATTCCAGAGAGTTAAGGATGAGGTGCAACCAAGGAAGCTGCACTACATCAGCTGCTTTGATTGAAGAGATGATGAGTTGAGTTTCTCCAAGCCACCAGGGCATAAAAAGTTCCATGCTTCCCCTGCTTCAACTAAATCAGTTTCCACATGCTCCATTCAAGAATGTCAACGCGATCTACCAAGATCGTCCAGGAAAGAATATCAGGTTATCCGCCCTCAATATATTGGGCAGCCAAAGTTGTTACTAAATTATGTTTTTGATGAACCAACTCAAACAGTTCTGGATAGATCCTGAGTATAGTTGGAGCATTTTTCCTTTTTTCTGTATCAAATAATTTGGTTAGTGAAGAAATCTCTTGAAGCCTTGTTAGCCTGCCATTCAATGAAAGTCTAGAAATCAATGGCGAATCAAATTAGTAAATGCTGGCAAGAAAGCTTACATGCCATATTTGTCTGCCTTAATTCCTTTTTTTTTTTAATCTAGTGTTATAGTTTTTTGTTATATGAAATCCTTGCAATTCTTCAGCTAGATGCATTCCCATTTCCATTTTCCATTGAAAGTATTGGTCCAATCCTTCTTTCATGTTTCGCCATTTGTTGTTGTTGTTTTTTTTTTTTTTTTTTTGACAAGGACCCTTGAAACAAGTTACACTACTGTAATCTTCTGGAGGTCAGCAATTTTAAAAATCAACATCAAATTTGTGAATTTTAAGTTTCTCTAGGAGAAAAAAATATATGCCAATGTTAAAATTTAAAGGCAAAGCCCAATTAACTGGGTAATTTAATACTAAGATCAATTAAGTTAAATTTGCAATCCTTTTGTACAAAAAAAAAAAAGATTATAGATTTTATTGAAAATATGGATGATCACAAATTCAAACTCCTAATATCAGTGAACTTTTTTTAATTGAAATTATCATATATTTAACTTTAATCACTAAATGAGAAGTTATGTCCTCCTAATCCGGGTATCTTTATCCGAGTAAATATTTTTTATTTAAAAAAAGTAATTTTTTTTTATATATGCAAAACAAAAATTTATCTTTTGTAACGGTAAAATTAGATTTTTTATGTTTGGTAAAAAAATCAGATTCCTTTAAAAGCAGGTGGGGTGAGAGAATCCCAACTCTTTGTCGTGTGCCCTAAAGAAAAACCCCTTCCCAATTTCAGCTGCTGTTTATTTTCAGAAAACCCCTCCTTAGCCCCTGAAATCCAACTTTTCTCTTCACTTTCATCCCTTTTCTTAATCTTCTTCTTCGGAATTAGGGCTTCACGATTCTCAGATAATGAAGCACACGGCGACGAAGAAGAAGAAGAAGAAGAAGCGATCACGTGCGAAGAAAACGCCTGCGGTCAACGATTCGTCACGTGGCACATCAGGCCAGCAGGACTTGCGGCGAGAGGAAGAAGACAATGAAGAACAAAAAAAGTCTCTCAACTCGTTAATGAAAGCCTTTTGTTCGATCTCTCTAGAACAAGCCACGTCAGCTTATAACCAAGCCAAAGGCGTTTTGGATAAAGTGGCGGAAATGCTATCCAATTTGATTGATAACGATAACGAAAGTGAAGACCCGGAGCCGTCGACGAGCTCGATCTCTAGTGGGTCGTCTTCGTCGGGTTCATCTGGGTCGGATTTTGCCGAAACGGTTTGCACACAGAATCCGAATAGCTTGAGGGGACGATGCAGAGGTGGAAAGCAGCAGAAGCGAGTGGTGGCGGCAATAGGGACGGTTTCGACGGTTCTCGGGAAAGAGTACGTTAAGGCAAGACCACGGCGGGACTCGGCCGCAGAGGCGGCGGCGAGATCGGTGTTGGTGAAAGAAGAGGCGGAGCAGTTCTTATTCTCAATGCTTGGAGACGAGAGTGAACTTGGCGTGGCTGTTGTTCGAGATGTTTTATGTGAGATTTTTTATTCTTTATTTTTTGTGATTTTGTCAGTATGAAGAAGTTTTGAGAATAAAGTTTTATCTTTTTCACATTGAATGACCAAAATTTCTATTTTTGCAGGTCAGTGTGGATACAATGTGGAGAAGGTATTGTGAGTCCCAAATTCTGAAGTTGCTTTCTTTGTTGATTTTGATATATTATAAACTGTGAAGCAGTTTCATAGTCATTGATGAAAGAAGTAAGGAAAAATGGATGGTTCATTGATGAAAATTTACTAATTTCTATCCACACAACGGCATTTCTAAAGATCTGGATTCTTTGCATATAAATTGTTTATCACCCAGAAGAAAGGCAATTGGAAATTGGGTTACTTGATTCACAAAGGGTTTGAGTAGGTTGACTTTAGTTGTTTAATTCTCTTTCCCTCTGGATAAATGAGTTCTTAAGGTCAATCTTACTTGACACACTTGGAAACAAGTGGAAGGCCTAAGCTATTGAAATATAGCTTGTTGGTACTTTAGTTTGATGGTATGCTTATTTCTGCTTTGTCGTCTTTTTGAAGAATGCCATTATATTCAGTGTATTCTGTCTTTCCAGGCTTTGGACGCATTGCTGGATTTATCTGCTTCCTTCTATGAACAATCCAAGAAGTATAATGACAATGTGAACAATAGACAAGATACAGGATTCCTCAGTGAATTTGCTGACCATGTAAGTAATACGAATTTCGATCCTTAATGAATGTTTCAAAATTTCTATATCAGTTCCCTCATTCTGTTTATAACATAATGTATTCATCAAATTGGTATTATTTCCTGTTGCTGGAGCAGTTTTAGTCTTCTAGATTTTGATGGAATTAAGGTGTTGTGGTTGGGAAATCTGGTTTCAGTTTTATTAGAATGCTTACTCTTTTATTAAGAGGGGCAGTGGTGACCCGGAGAGAAACCACTCTCTATTTTTGGTTTGGTTAAAATCTTCCTTCAGGTTGAAATAAAGAATAGCACATGTTATTTAGCTCAACAGAATAGACTCAGAGTGAATATGCTGACATATTAAAACTTTCTCCTTCCTTTTCCCTTTCTTTCCTTCCTACCAAACAAAGTGTTATTGTTCTATCTGATGGTTAATTGTTTCTTATACTAAGCCTGAGGTTTTGACCTTCAGAGGAGAGTTAGTTGAGGCTTTGAAGTCAAGGTCATCTTTGAATTGCAAACTAAATGTAACTGAAGGGAACATTAATATTGTGTGTAAATTCTTTTAGTCAGTCAGAGATGGAATGAAAACTGAGAAAATGCCCCCTGCTTTTCGAAAACAGACAAAGCACTGAAGGGAACATTGATTTTGTATGTAAATTCTTTTAGTTAGTCAATGATGGGATGAAAACTGAGAAAATGCCCCTTTTTTTGGACAACAGAGAGAGCACTGGAGAATGCATGTTATTATAATTGTGTAGCATTTTTGTTTTAACGGTTCTTTATAATTTCCATTACTTCTTCTTCTGCTTTAATTTTCAAAATTCTATGTTCTGAAGCATTTACATTTCATCCTGTTCCACATAAAGTGATCTATAAATTTTCTAAGATCTATAAATTTTCTAACAGTTAACAGATAGGGCACCTGATTGCATGTCCAATTCATCAGAAAGTGAACTTCAAGATAGTATAGGGTCAGTGGGCTTTGGTTGCAGGTAATTTATTCTGTCCGTCATTGCCCTTGATTGTTTTACTTGGTTATTCTTTTCAGTGTTGTTTTAGAAATTCTTCTCACGTAGACGTTGTGTTGTAATAGCATAAGAGACTTAAACAAGGATGGGAAAGCTACTTCCTTGGAACTTGACTCATCCAAATGAGACTTGATCCCTACCTCTATAAGGCGGATTCTAAGTCCTACCCCCTGCATAGGTAGTACTCCCTTATAGTTCCCTTATCTTCTTGGAGTAATAGAACGGAAACAAAGCCAAATACGTCTTAACCCATCTAACAAGCCTTATAGAGTCCACCGTCCCTTTCTTCTTGTTAGCCCCGGAGTTATAAGAAACTTTAACATCATCTACTTTCCGTCTTGTGAGTAGTAGTGTACTGTTCAGAGGTTTCCGACGTACCCAGAAGTAGTAAGATGTATTCGTCTGATCTTTCTTCTGTGTCACAGCCGGAAGGATTGTCAATAGGCAGACGGTTAACCCTGGCATCAACTTTAGAACGCTTTAATCCTTAAAAAGCTCTTAGTATCTTTAAGGCTGTCCTTCCTAGTTCTTTTTTCCTTCGGCTTTCTCCTTCAAGTTTCTGTCTTCCTCTTTCTAACTTCTCGGGTTGTCTTTAGAAGATCTCTATGGAACTGTTGCAGGAATACCTTAGAGAACTAAGAAAACTACTGAAAAAACAAACAAAAACCCCCTTATAAATCCCCCAGGTGGTGGACCGAAGCAGAGCTTTGGCCCTCGCACTGTCAAATGATTTCCAGCTATTTCATTCATAATCTTGAAGAATAAGATCATTTATGTTAGAAACAATTCTTGTAAGAGAGAGATCAGTGGGGTAACAATTTCCTTGAATTGTGGTATCAAAAATAAGCTCTTGAAGTCATTTCTTAGTGTGGTGTAAAAGTAGTATGTACCACTTGTGGTGGACTTTCTCTTGCATTGCATATAAACTGTGTTCCATACTGGCAATACAGTCATAGCTAAGAATTACTTTTGGTTGAGATAACTCTGCTGCATCTCCAATATCAATGTCATGTTTGAATATTAGATCTCTCATGTTAGAGCCAAAGTTTTTATATGTTTGCTTTAAATTTGATTGCTCGTAATTTAAGGATCTTAATTATCAAAAACCAGGTCTTGAAATATTAGGCTTTTCCCCCCTCTTTAATTTTAGGAATTACTCGAAGGTTATTGCTAGTTCTGACACTCTGCTACCATCTTGCCCAAGGAGTAACGTGTTGAATCTCCCTCAGGAGGTGTTGGATTCTTTATTTAACATCCCCAAGAGTTCCAAACAAAAACCTAGCACAATGCATTGGAGGAATGTAGTCAAGAAGTTGCAGTCATTGGGACCTGGGATTGATGTTTGTACATCTAGTGTTGCAGAGCCTCAGCAGGATATCTATGGTATTCTCATGATAATTTTCTCATGCTTTGTTTGTTAGTACATGTGACTGTTGCTTTTGAAGTTGGATTATGAATATCACTATAAAAGTCTTACTTTGAAGTCCTACCACTACGTTTTAATTGAGCATCTTTGTTACAAGTGCATTACTTCATTTCATGAAGACCTAAAATATTAATTACCTTTTCCTTAATAGTCACAGGTATATTAGGGAGGACATTTGCATTGAAACATTTATTCTCATGATAATTTTCTCTTGTTGAGATAGAAAGGGATTTAAATAATAGGATTCAAGCAGGATAAGTGAGGTGACGAAGTGCGTCTGGTGTGTTGTGTGATCGCAATATACATTTAAAGTTAAAGGCAAAGTTGTATAAAATAGTTTTAAGCCTTGCATTGATATATGGGATTGAGTTTTAGGCCGTTAAGAAACAACATGAGAAGAAAATGAGTGTAGCTGAGATGAGTATGTTTAGATGGATGGGTGCTAAGACTAGAAGAGACAAAATTAGAAATGAAGAGATTCGAGGAAAATTAGGTTAGTCTGAATTGAGGAGAAGATGAGAAAGGGTCGTTTGAGATGGTTTGGACATGTGAAACGTATGCTTATCTGTGTGCTAGTTAAGAGAAATGAGCTTTTGGATTTGGAAAAGACCAAAACTTCTAGAGGTAGACCAAGAAGGATGTGGTTGCAAGTAATAAGAAATGATATGAGGGTCAAGGAAGTTGATAAAAAGGTTGTTTTTATAGAAATGAGTGGCACAAGAAGATTCGAAACTATGACCTAACATGATTTCCATTTTTGGCCTTTTATACAATCGAACCTAGAGTTATGGGATGTAAGGCTTAGCTTGTTGTTGTTGGTTCTAGCTACTAAGGTTTAGACACAATAGTAGCAAGTACGAGTTAAAATACTTATCTAAGCCATAATTTTAATATACAAGTTCTCAAAACTACTTTGAAACTCCCTCCCCCCCCCCCCCCCCCCAATTTCGAGAAATGAAAACCTAAAAATATGCAAAAAGTGGTTAGGTCACTAGAAAAGAAAAGGAAAAGAAAAGGCAAAATTTTGGGAAGGTTCTTGATTAAATGTAGTTTTTTTGGGGTTGAAATCATTTTATTTTGGTTTCCTTTTTCACCTATATTTTCAACCATTTTCCAAAATATCCTCGTATAAGTTTTTGCACTTGTTGGCAATCTCTTTTTCTTTACAATTCAAATTTCCTGGAATTGTAGCTAAGGGAGATGAATATCACGAATTTAGAATGACTGCTAAAGAGCATTGGGATTCCATGAGATCATACCATCAGAAGGTATGATGTTTATAGCATTTCTTTTATCTTTGATATAGTTGCGATATCCAGTTTGAAGTTTTATACTTCATATAACTTTTGGTAACTATTTGACGAACATTCTTTTACAGGCTGCTACAGCTTATTCAAAGGGGGAATGGGGGTATTCTGCTTATCATTCTAATCAGGTGTGTATTCTACTTGGGGGTAGAACATTGTGAATCACACGTTACATATATATTGGTAAATTTAAGAAAAGGAGAAAGTGGCAATGAAGCAACAATGAGAACTGGGGATAATATCCCCACAATGTTTGCTTTTCTTCTTTTCTGGTTGGCATCAATATCATGTCTTATGTCAAATTTGTGGCCGGGGGTTGCTTTAGAATCACATGCTGACATGATACCTTGCATCTGAGTAGGGGAAGATACAGACTAAATTGGCCAGGGAAGCAGATGAAAGGGCAAGCCAGGATATATTTGAAGCTAGGTTAGTCCTCCAATAACTAACTGAATAAGAAGTATTCTCTCATTGACTCTATTTTCTTTTTTGTGGTCATATGAACTAATCATTATCTGTCTTTGCAGGAACAAAGGCTTTGAAAATGTGATAACAATTGATTTGCATGGGCAACATGTCAAACAAGCGATGAGACTTTTGAAACTGCATCTTCTATTTGGAACCCATGTTCCTTGTAAGCTTTTTTCTTAGACCTAATGGTTATGCGAGATTGTGTGTGTTTGTGATGTAGTTCTACTTATTAGTTACCTTCTTGTGCTCCAGCGGTTCGGACTCTGAGGGTTATCACTGGATGTGGGACGCATGGTATGGGGAAGTCAAAACTGAAACAGTCGGTATGGATTTAAATCATCCCAGATTCAGCCATATGTCCTATCTGCAGTAAATTAATACAAAAAATCAGAAAGCTTTTTGTTGACTAATTTGGAAATTGTTAATGTGGATGTTTTGGAAGATTATATATGGTTTAAATGTCTTTGACTGATTATGTTAAACTTCCATCCATTTCTTCATTGCAAGCTTTTTGCTTTATGCCCGTGTTTGGAGTACTATGTAGTTATTTTCTTTCCGTTGTCAAGTAATTTATGCCAATTGGTGCATGCAGGTCATTAAGCTTCTTGAGAAGGAAGGTATTCAGTGGAGTGAAGAGAACTGCGGAACTGTGCTAGTTAAGGTTGACCAATACAGAGAGTTCAGCTTTTTAGATTCCGATAGTGACACCGAGTAAATTAATTTTGTAATATCAACCACATGTTTTTCTCTTCACCCCCTGTATAAGAAAGACTAGGATGTAATGTAACATGGTTAATGTGGTATTTTAACACCAGCTATCAGGTGTTCATATGTATATTTATACAAGTCCATGTATTCTCTATAGGTAGGTGAAAGCTTCTCGAAGATGAAGCTTCCATGTTCCTGTATGTTGAGTTTAGCGAAATCATACCTGTACATTGCTTAATAAACATAGACTATGTTCTTTTGACTTTAATTAGAACCTCAATATTTTGGGGACATGTCCTGTTCTTGCTGCCAGTGAAATCGTAGCCTGTTTTTTTTTTTCGGTTTTTCTTCCAACGAAATTCTAATAAAATGTACAGTGCTTCATAAATCAGGTTAATCTGGGGTCATGGAAACGCTGCTTCAGACAATGATAACCTTTCAACTTGGCGTAAGTCGGTCGGTTTATTGAGATTCCAAGCGCTTTCAGGTGGAAGTGCAGCCACTTACAGCTGGACCCAAATATATTTTTTTCTTCTGTACATGTTTGATGGTAGATATTTATTTATTTATTCCTGCAGTCGTCCAATGCCAGCTCTCAATCAGATTGTAAAATATCTCAAGAAATAAAATAAACGTACGACAAGGAATAAGCTTATCTATCCTCACAAAGTCTGTCATAACTCCCTCTTTTACAGACCAATCATATTTCTCCCCAAAACATGCAATTCCACTCTATATCCAACAAACTTGACCGTCATTCATTACCATCACAGACAAAAAAACCGCCATTGCCGACTGGTCGCTCCATCACCGCCCCGTTTTCTCTCTTACCAGAAGATATATATTGGAGACAGAGAAACAAAGAAAAAAATAAAATTTACATTGTATCATAAAAACGACGGTTTGAAATTTCATTTCCGGTGGAGGCTACTATGGCCGACATCAGCAGGACCAAAATCAAGCGTTTCAATAATGGAGCCGAGAAGGCGAACGGATTCGATGACGGAGATGGAGATGATACGAAGAGTGAGGACTGTGATGTGGAGGTCTGGGATACGCTGACCAAGAGCTTTAAGCAGGTACAGGTTGTACTGGATCAGAATGGGGAACTCATCCAGAAAGTAAACGAGAATCACCAGTCGAAGATTCCCGATAATCTCGTTAAGAACGTCGGATTGATACAGGAGATCAACGGGAACATCTCCAAGGTTCTCGAGATTTACTCCGATTTGTCAGTCAATTTCTCGGACATTGTTCGTCAACGAAAGAGGATCGGGAACGGGAAGGCGGACAGTAGGCGCTATTGAACTGATTTCTAGTAATTTTCGAAAAACTTTCAGCTTTATCTTCTGTTTAAGGTTTGGTCTTCTGTCGTCATGGTGTCATTCAGGATTAATAAAAACTATGCCGTTTTGTTTGTGTCAGGGTGTCGTTTGTTTTGTTCAATAGAAGTTTTCAGTTTCAGGCGTTTGTTCAAGGTTTATGAGTAAAGTTATCGTGTCTTTTGGTGAAAGTCATTTGTGAACTGATCTCTGATCGAACCCTGTTTTAACTTTTTAAGGTTAATGTTAAGCTGATGATGGTTTATGCTTATCTTGTGTTTGTTTTGTTTGTTATGTTATAGCTGCGGGACTTCCTTGTCTGCTTTAATCCACCCCGCAGACGAAAATGAGGTATTTTTCTTCTGTTTGAAATTTGTCTTAATTTTTGTACTGTTTTGCAAATTTCACTGATTGGTTGATGGGCGGATATCGTCGGGATCATAGCAGCAAAGCTCATTCACATTTTCTTAGCGGTACCAATCTTTTATTCTTATATCTTTGTGAAAAGTTTTCACTCTCTGAAGGTGAGCGGTGGACTAGGTGAGGTGGAAGATAGAGGTGATGGTAAAGATATTGGTGGTCAAGGTGAGGTAATGGTTGCAATGGACTAGTTTGGTGCTTTTGCTTATGGATATGAAGGAGATATCATGTGGTGGTTTCCGATGAGGTCAAAGAGGACTAATTTGGCAAGTGGTGGAGGATTGGTTAATGGTAGACAAGGCATTATCAGTACCAGGAAGACGATATTTAGATATATTGTGCATGTGGAAGTTGAGGGTGGTGAGGAATAATGTTGAGTTCATGAGATAATTTTGGGAAGAAAAAGATGTTCTTGTGGAAGTTCAGGGTGGATGGATGCTGAGGTCACAGCATAATTCATTAATTCTGGTTACAGGCTATTGGTTGAGGTGGGAGCTGAAGTTTGCTGGCAACGGCCTTTTTCTTCTGGAAGTGTTCAGAAACCAGGGAGAAGGCTGATTTTGGTGTATAATACATATATATTTACTTCAGCCCCACACGTTATTCTCACCATGTCCTCTCCTACTATGCTACAGTCAACTTATTCACTAATCCAATTCTATGATGCTAGACCATGCTGTTGCGAATTTTCTGTTCACCAAGATCATCCTACTTCTTCAACTGTTATTTCTCTAATTTGATCTTCTTTTCGCCTATTTAATTGTAATAATGAATCATTTCATTCTTCATCACGAGGTGAACTTTTGTTGTTTTAAGGAAGTCATAGTAGGATCCCAATATATAGATGACCCCCACTCCATTCTGAAAGAATAATAGTATTTCTCATTGGTTATTACTTTAATTCATACATATATGATCACCATTTTTGTGTTGTTTTGATAGCAAAATCAAATGCTGATGAACTTAAACAAATTTTCTGATTACCACCAATTCAGTGCACAGCACTATCCTCAGCTCATGGAGATGTTTAACCTTTCATACTGTTACTGCATTTGACTTGTATAGGATCTTAAGTCATGCTGCCAAGCTCCTCAGCATTTTGATCTACAGAAGCAGGTAGTCAATTCTAAAAACCTGGTTATCTGGTGATAAATGTAGCTTATTGTGTCTGTTCATTGGTAATTTGTCATCTTAATGCCATTGAACAGTGCATTTCTTGTCCTCCTGAAAAATAGAAGTGAGAAAGTTTCACAAGAGGGAGAGATTGGGAAAAGTGAGCACTGCTTCGCTTAAAGTGTCAACAGAAAAATGCACCAATGCCAATATTTTGAGAAGTTGGGAACGTTTCAGTAGCACCTTTTTGTTATATTGTTTCATGGGGCATTCTCAATCAGCTAGAGTATAGAGATGCCAATTCCCTAACTCTTGTGTTAGATATATATTTACCCGGATTCTGTTGCTGACTTAAGTTTAAATGTATTTGGCTCTTGATTAAGATAAATTTATATTTGATGCATTATCAATTTTAAATATGTTTTTAAGATTAAGAACAGTGGCTTATTTTTGAACAATCTTACTTGGATGGATCAAGCCGTTTATCGTACACTTAGAGGGCCAAAGTGAACAGGTCTCTTTTCAGCAACAAACAAAAAGCTTGTGACGTTTACCATCTATAACATCCTACACAATATGTGAAAACATGATTTTGTTCAGCTAAACTAAGTAACCTTCAACTAAGTGGAAAAGCTCCCGAGTACATAAAATGTTCATCTTGGGAGTTTTCATCACAGCTTGATTGGAATAACAAAACACCCAAGTTTATATCCACCAAAACACAAGCATGATGATTACAGATGAAGTTCACCACTGTCAGCAATCACAACATTGCTCTTCGGTGTGCCGCTCTGCCTTCCTTCAGCTTCAATTTTGTAAACCACATCCATTCCAGACAGCACCTTTCCAAATACAACATGCCTGCCATCCAACCTGTAGAAAGTAGTCGATGATTAGCAGCAAAACAAAAGGTATCATCTTTATTGGTTGTAATTTTGAATTCGTTATTACCAGCTGGTTTTCACAGTTGTAATGAAGAATTGTGAGCCATTGGTGTCGGGACCAGCATTTGCCATTGACAAAAGCCCTAGAGCAAAAAAAGAAAAAAAAAGTTCTTGTCACAAATATTCAGTCATTTGTTAAAGGAAGCTAGATATAGCACTTGATAGAATGCCATATGGCTCACCAGATCCAGTGTGCTTCAGCTTGAAATTCTCATCAGCAAATTTCTCACCATAAATAGATTCTCCACCTCTTCCATCACCAAGTGTAAAATCACCTCCTTGTATCATGAAGTTTGGAATAATCCTGTGGAATGCACTACCTTTGTAGTGGAGAGCTTTCCCACTCTTTCCAACACCTTTTTCCCCTGAAATGGAAAACCCAATCTTAGAAAGATGCTATGTCAAACAAAAAGTTTCCGAGTCATTCACAAAAGGCTAGACCAGCTTCACTTTTGTTTTCATTTTCATTTTTGTGCTTTTGCCGAGTCCTACACCCATTACATCTTTATGCCTCTACAAGCTCTCTTGTTACCATTTTAGGAATATTTTACAGTGACAAAGGTCAATCAGGGAGATCACTCACATACCTGTGCACAGTGCTCGGAAATTTTCTGCACATAAGAAAGTTTAAGCTTATTAGCAAGATAATTGCTAGGAGTGTAGAAGAATATAGATGTAACTTGTAAGCCACTATTTTAGCTATAACAATATCACACCTGCTGTTTTAGGCACTGTCTTTCCGAAGAGTCCCATGACAATTCGACCTGAGAACAATAGTTCAATAATCTTTTAGCTATCTACACTGAAAACACAAGTAGGAGTGGTGTAATAAGAAGTAACATAGTACTTCTACAGTTAAAATAACAAAAAAGCCCTGAAATTTGCCAAAATAAGCTCTTATGCTTGTAGTGTACCCAAATACGCACTTAATTTTCAATTTTTATCCAAATAAATTCTTATTCGAAAAGAAACGTTTATTTCTGTTACAATCAACACTAGTTGGATTTTTTTGTTTACTTGGAAGTTAAAATGGCCTGAATAAAAATTGAATTAAAATTGAATTGAATAAAAAGAAAATCTTTAAAATAATTTTTTTCAATTTTAAAATTTGGGTCATGTCAGCTTTCATGTCAACAGAAAAATCTAACTGGCCTTGACTGTAATAAAAAATCACCTTTCATTTAGAATAAGGGTTTGTTTATATACAAATTAAAAAAAGAATTTATTTGGATACAGTAAAAGTAAAAAACCTTACCTAAGAAAAGTGAGAGAGTTCACGGCTCGACTAGTAATTTAGCCTACTACTAAAAAATCTATGATTATATTAGAGTTCTCTCACCATATCAAACTACAACCTCGTTTCTTCTCAAAATATTAGCTATATATTACAGGTCTGCTAAATCACTTCATAATCGCAAAACCCTTTTATTTTTCACCTTTGGAAGTTTATTTGTAGAAAGGCCTTCAAGACACTATATGCCATGATATTTTCAATCACTCTTAGAAATAATAGCATAAAAGAAAGCTAAGAGTTATTTAGTTTTACAAAAGCATTCCATTCTTATATAAATATGAGAATCCATCTCTTTCTGCAAATTATTCACAGAAACATTTCCACATAACCAATGTTGGGCAATTCATAACACATATCCAATGTGATTACTCCATCAGTAAGAAACTGAAGCATACCAGCAGGTTTTCCAGCAATTTCAACATCAAAGTAAACTTTGTGAGTAACTTCCTTCAAATCTTCCTTGGAACTTTTTGCCTGAACATTTCAGTAATCACATCTGATTATCAAAATCATCTATCTAATTACAAAGAAATATAACTCAATGCTATTAGCAAAGTGAAACGAAGAAAATAAAAGCAACAAACAAACAGTCAAGAAAATTAGAAGAAACCCAGACGATCTTAACAAAATATGAAGCGATTTTCACATTTTATTCACAGATCAAGACCCAATAACCAACAGTTTAGAAAAAACCCAGAACTAAAAAGGAAAGGGAAACAACATAAAGAAAAGTGAACCTGAGTGAGAGTTAGAGATCCAAAAAGGACCAAAGTGCAAAGCAAAGTGAGAGACAGCGATCTTAATCTCTCCATCTCTTTACTCTTTTGCCTTACCAGTTTCGGAGTGATTAATACGAGGATAGGAGAAGCAAAGAAGCGTTATATACGGGGAAGAATATCACTGGTAAACTGATAAGCCAATGTATGTGTGCCATGTGGCTTGATGGGTGTGCTTGAATGTTATTCTACAGCGTTTTGCTTCTTTGGGTCCAATGGTGATTTGGTTTTGCAAGATATGGGTGGGATTCGGCCGGACCATATGGCTATGTTTGAGGCCAATGTAGGTTTAGTTTTGTTGGCTTATGGGCCAGTTTAATTGAAACTTGGGGCCCCTAGAATATTTAGCTGGTAGGAGCTTTATCTTTTCTGATTTTGGACCAGGTCCTAACTCCCCCAACTACATTCGACAACAAATGAGCTTGTCTAGGATAAACCTGAACTATGAAAAGTATTTTTAACTCAAATTTCTTACCATTTTATAAGTATGATTGAATGGTTAAATACTAGTAAAAATCTATAGATGATATCAAACTTAGATTCTGTTCCATAATTTTTTTTTCTATCTTTTTTGAGTTTGTCATGTAATATTACACTTACATGCAGTTGAGACATGTTAAAATTTAACGTTAATGCTTAAGAACATCTTAAATTTGACTTGATTTTACGATTTTAAAAATTTCTATAAATTTTGATTATGTTCGGCATTATAATTGACATAGCTGCAAATGAAGATATTATCCATTGAATTTTAGAAGGGAATTTTTACTCCTTTTTTTTATATATATTTTCCATTCGATTCCATCCTGACGAGTAATAAACGATTTTGGAATTGATTCTTGTAGTGGTCTTTTAAAATTCATTCAGAAAAAGAAAGGGTGTGAAAATGAAAATAAAAAAGAGAAAGGCTATACTGCATATTCTCAACATGAACAACATGACAAGCTTTAGCTGAAAGAAGATTAAACAAATGAAAAGGAGACATAAACGATTAAATGTAAAAAGAGAGCTTGAATTAAAAACTAAATTTATACATCCACGACCATCACACATTATTCTTCTGTTTCCAATTTTTTTCTATATTGTTTGTATGTGGGAATAAAATCAAACTTCCAGGAATCGATCCCTCAAGGCAGAAAACAAAGAAGGCGGGAATTTGTTGAAAAAAATCTGATATATAAAGAGAGTTGGAGAATATATGTCACCTGAAAAATCATCAGCAATAATATTCCAAGTAGGAACAAGTTGAAAGGAAAGAAAACAGTCATTGATTAGCGCTTGACATTTCATGTTTTCCTTTGATCTGATTCTGTAAAGGAAGGTTTGTCAGAGCTATTTCCTTATGGGGTACATGGGAAATTACAGCATGTGCATTTGCTTCCCTAAGAAATTTGGGGTCACTGAGGCAGGGCCTCCAGTTGATGTGAAGGAGGTTTTCATGGAATACGCCCAGGGGGGAACCTGGATGACGGTGGAGCAGCTGAGACGGTTCTTGGTGGAGGTTCAAGGTGATGCTGAGAGGATTGTGGGGGAAGTGCTTCAGAGGAGGCATAACAATCTAAAATTTACAAAGCAGGCTCGACTAAGTCTTGAAGATTTTCACTTTTACTTATTCTCTGTGGATCTCAATCCTTCACTCCTTAATCAGGTATAAACTTGTTATTGCTTCTTTCTTGGTGTTTTATTCGGCTGCATGTGCTAGGAAAAGTTGCATATTTGTCTCGAGAGAAAAATCAAAGTACATTTCAATGTTTAACATGGAATATATTACACTCAGGTTCATCAAGATATGACTGCTCCTCTCTCCCACTACTTCATATATACTGGTCACAATTCATATTTGACTGGAAACCAAATCAGCCGTGATTGCAGTGATGTTCCAATCATAAAGGCACTAAAGAGAGGTTTAAGAATGGTGGAACTTGATTTATGGCCAAATTCTACAAAAGACGATGTTCTTGTTCTTCATGGATGGTATGTACATTTCATGTATAAATTCAAAAAAAAAATTCTAAACTAAATTTACTTAGTCAGGAAGCTTGAAAGATTCTTGTATTTTCAGGGTTTTTCTTTCTGAGTTAATGAACTTTTGTTTTTATGTGTATTTATGAAATGTAGGACCCTGCAACACCTGTGGAGCTGATTAAATGCTTGAGATCCATTAAGGAGCATGCCTTTTCTGCATCTCCATATCCAGTGATAATTACTTTAGAAGACCACCTTACCCCAGATCTTCAACCTAAAGTTGCTCAGGTTTTTTTTATCATCTTCTTCTTGGAATTTAATACCACCATTCTTAATTTCCTGGAATTATACATTTCTAATTAATGCTTCATATCACTCTTTTTTTGTCTATAGATGGTAATACAAACCTTTGGAAACATGTTGTTTTATCCTGAATCTGATTGTGTGAACGAGTTCCCTTCGCCGAAAGAACTGAAATATCGAATTGTCATATCAACTAAACCTCCAAAAGAATACCTTGAAGATAAAAACTTATCAAGCAGAAGAAGTAACTCCCACAAAGAACGAGAAACTGATGAAGATATATGGGGGAGAATGTCAGGAGATCTCACAAATGATGGTGATAAGGTCAGCCGAAAAACGAAAAAAAAAAATGCTGATTCTCAATTTTTAGATTTCTTCCTCAATTTCTCCTTGGGTTTGAAAAATTTTGGCCTTGTTCTACTGCAGAGTGACTGTGATACAAGTGAACATAGTCAAGGTGATGGTGATAATGAAGCATGTGATCATTGGGAGCAACCGCACCCACATACAAGAATCTAATTTCCATTCCAGCTAGAAAGCCTAAGGGAAAGCTAAGAGAGAAACTAAAAGTTGAGATAGATAAAAGTTAGACGCCTAAGTTTGAGTGAACAAAAATTTGAAAAGGCTACTGTCTGCCATGGAACTGAAGTTGTAAGGTGCACAGCAATTTGATTAATGTTTATTTGTGACTGAATCTGATCTAATCCGTGAAATAATTGTATTTAGGTTCAAACAGAGGAATATTTTGAGGATATATCCTAGGGCTACTCAGGTTAACTCCTCAAACTACAATCCTCTAATTGGTTGGATGCATGGGGCTCAAATGGTTGCATTAAACATGCAGGTTGGGTTTGTATTCCCTTTTCAACATCTGAAAACGTTTTTCAAATACTCTGTCTGATTGGTTCCTAATAATCTTCTGGGTCTAGGATTACTTATAACATGATTTATGGTCTAATTGCAGGGATATGGCAAATATCTATGGTTGATGCATGGGATGTTTAGATCCAACGGAGGGTGTGGCTATGTGAAAAAGCCAGACTTTCTGATGAACATGGGTCCAAATGATCATGTTTTTGATCCTAAAGCAAAGCTGCCAGTGAAGAAAATCTTAAGAGTGTGGAGTTCAATTAAAACAAATATGATTCCCCACCATTCTGGCAGTCTTTTCTCTAAGTGCCTTCCCATGTTACTCAACAGGTAAAAGTATACATGGGAGATGGATGGAATTTAGATTTTAAACTAAGGCACCTCAATCTTTGGTCTCCACCAGAATTCTACACAAGGGTAAGCATTACTTGTTTATGGTACTTAGAAATTTGATTGACAGAAATCCGTCATCCAATTACTCAGATGTTCAAGTAATGCCCATCTCCAATCAGGTTGGCATAGCAGGAGTACCAGCAAATAGGACAATGAAGAAAACAAAGAAAAGAAATGGCAATTGGACCCCAGTGTGGGATGAGGAATTCACATTTCAATTGACAGTTCCAGAAATAGCTTTACTTCGAGTTGGAGTTCATGAATATAACATGTCTGAGAAAGATTATTCGGAGGCCAGACTTGCCTGTCGGTGTCCGAACTAAGACCAGGCATCGGGGCAGTGCCTCTATTTAACCGCAAAGGAGAGAAGTTCACTTCACTAAGGCTTCTCATGCGCTTTCAGTTCGTCCAAAGAGATAATTAGTCTTACACACAGTTTTATTACAGCAGTACTTTCCCATAGTTAGGATGTTCATGCAAATGCAATAAATTTCAAAGCACGTACCAAAAAAAATTCATCAAATTTCATTTTTGTGTTTTATGATGGTAATCAAATGTCAGAAATTTATCAGACTCAAATTTGTCAAGGTCACTCAAGCTGTCTACACGACAACACCAGTCAATCTATCTTCTTATTTTCAACCAAGAATGCCCTACTTTTTTCCCTAATTAGGCCCCAAGGGTCCAGCGTCTGTTCTTGTCTGGTAATGTTCAAAAAGCATCAATAGTAATTAGTTGTTAATAATGGTAGTGGTACTATATCGTCAATGACATTAAAGATACCTATCGGTTCACTTTGTTTTATTTATCTTTCTGATACAGATTATGCATGATAAAAATTTCCATCTGAATAATCCATAATCCATAATCCATGGATTCTCCTAATAATAAAACCTTGAGGAATTATTTCCCTTGCTTGGTTAGAGAATATAAAATCTCGGTTACAAGCATTTTGCTCTCCTTGAGTATGACACTACAGAGAGACCTGATTTCGGAGGCCAAACATGTTTGCCTTTATCAGAGTTGAGAACTGCAATCCAGACAGTTCCACTACATGACCAAAAAGGAAACAGGTACAGTCATGTAAGGCTTCTATTGAGCATCAAATTTGGGCTCCCTTCAGATTTCTGACTTCTGACACTTGTTTGATGTTGTAATGAATATCATACATTGCATGCCTAAACATTGGTCAATAACATTGCTCAGTTTATTATATCTTTTCCTTACAAATCAACAGAGCAGTTTTACAATCTGTATTATAGAAACTAGAAAGAATTGCTGCTAACCCTTTTGGTCGAAGGTATTGAATATGTTTAGAACATTGCTCAAATGCCCAAAATAGTACTTTTGGAGCTGCATAGTCTCCACCAGCTTCGTATCAATGGTCAATGAAGTTTTCTTTCCTTCTTCTCCAACCCCACCCTCACCCCCCACTCCCCCTCTCAGTCTTTCTGTCTCTCTCTCCCAAACAACGGAATTTACCAACCAGGCCAAGCCATTGGAAAGTTTACTGGAGCTGAGTTGATTGTCAGTACCTAATCCATCTGTTGCGCCT